TTTTGCTCCTTTTATCACATTTTTTGCCTTTTTTGAACTGTCATTTTTTGCTACTTTCTAAACCACCCTTTTTTTGAACTCCCTTTTTTTTACCAGTCAAAAGTTGCGCAAAATTTTAGGTAATGAAAAACATCTAATTGCTGGGTTTCATCCACATGCCATTTGTAATTGCAGGAAACAACTTATTCTAGAAAGTAGACTAATTAATATTTAATTACAGGCAAGGCATCATCATGACAAGGAAATTTTGCAAACGTTCAAGAGTCATAATTTTAATAGTTCAACAGAGGATCCACATTGTAAATCTAAAGTTCCCCGTGAAATAAATGCTACTGAGCACACCCGGCAAATGTGCTGGTCCCTAATTTTCTAGCAGCACTTAAACAAAATTTTACAGAACAGAAGGAGAAAAAGTAGGCCATTATACAAGCAGAAAGCATTGCTGAAATAATAATGAACTCAGACCTTGCCACGACAGACTGCAAAAAATACTGCACCAGAAGTAGAGTGCTTCAACTTAGTCATATAGTCCTGGTCATAAACAAATGCACCAGAAATATCTGTAATTGAGGATATAATGTAAGAAAAATTTGACAAACGTTGATAAAGTATGCATGTTTAGTTTCTCACGTCAATTGCCAAAGGGAAAAGAGATGCTTGTCTAGGTTCCACAACAGGTTGTTTGTACTTGCAGATTCTCTCCCAGATTGTGCTGGAATTTGTTGAGTTTGCATGACTCTAGAATAAGGAGCTTAGTTCATCAATATACATTCAAAAGGATCATTAGCCAAGTAGTTGTGCTGGAAACCTTCCTGTATTCTTCCAGCATCCAACACATTGGTCCAGGAGGTAGTAAGACGGAAAAACTACTAGGAAGCCATCTGGCACAATTCGAGCAAAATTGACTGCAGTAGCAGAATCAAGTAACATAAGGCACATGGACATAATAATATACTAATAAAACATTGAGGCTACAGATTTTAAATAGAACACTAATTTAAATAAGGTTTAGTACTTTAATTTGCTATTTTTTTTTCCTTTTTGAGGACATTAGGATCTTGTACAAGTGCTTAGAAAAGTCATTATCCAACATCCCCCAAAATAGGGTAAATAAGGTCAAATTTTGGAAAGATGTATTATTACAAATCGCACAGAATTCTGCACCATATAGCAAAAATTTCTAAATCATAAAACTATCAACAGTGTGTATGAGATATGCTTATCATTACCAACTACCATTATAAACTTATGATTACATACCAATAGCATTCCCAAGCTCCAGCTTGTACTCTAAGGAATCATGATTCCGATATGAGGAGTTAAAAGAGTAACCATATGGATCAACTCACCTTCTGTGCCCCTCCATTATCAATGTTATTGGCCTCTGCACCAAGAAAGCGAGGATGAGAGACCCTTAAAAGACCCAACACCACAGGTAACAGAAAAGCAAATTGCACCCATGTATAGGAATGGAGTATTTTCCTTCTGAACATCAGCGAACAAACCAAATTAATAGCCCCCAACACAACCAAGTATGACAACAGACCTGGATACAGTGGGGAAACTTTCAGTTTCAAGGTTGTGACAATTTGCAGCATACCTTCCTCAAGAAGAGAGTTGCTTCTTCAATTGTGCCAATTTAGCATTGTGGCTGTTCAAGTGTGATATTCAGATCAGCAAGCAGTTCATAAATGTAAGGACCAGGCTTTGTAAAACCCAAGTTTTTGGACTCAATAGGGATTTCTGCTATCTTCTCAAGCTTTAGAAGAAGTGCTGCAAAAGACATGATTAATTCATAAAATTGAAGAAATAGGGTAAGAAGCAAAGTGAACAAGACTTCAATCATTGAGACCTTTGAGCAACTTGGACTTGTGCTGTTTGGAGGAAATTTCTACCCCATTAGAGATCTAAGATCTTCCAACATAAATCACAAGCAACAAAATAAGTCTTTCATGAGAATAGGAATTTCACACGTCATAATCAGTTCTATAAAAAAAAAAGAAAAAAAAAAGCTTCCAAATATTAGGACAACAAACACCGGCATTCTTAATTGATTTTAAGTTTAAAATTTCGTATACATTCATTTATCTCCAGCAATGTCATTTACCTCTAAGAATTGCGAAGTTATCAGGATTATATGATTTGTCATTTGATTGATCCCTTCGCGCTATAGAAAGGTCTACACAATTTTTTGCTTCAGAAATGCAAGCTGTCGGAATGCCTGACAACAGGTCAAAAGATGCAGCATCGGCACACAAACTCTCCTGCATTTTACAAAAAAACAAAAGAGAAGTAAGTTCTTTTTGTCATTTCCTAAGATATATAAGGGACCAGCATCATTTCCATAGAGTTATTTATATCTTGCAACAGTTTAGAGAATTATGAGTAGGCAGATGAAAAAGAAATTAAAAGGAAAAGGCTTCCAGAGCAGGAGGCTCAAAAGCAAGCATTTCCACTTGCCAAGTTGCGGGCTTCATCGAATATCAGGACACTGTCATTCCATTAAATTGAAAGGATTTTCGATTCCCCGATCAATAAGATAGTTATTCGGCGCAAACACAATATCTACAACCTTGTGGAGCTCTTTTGACACATAACATGGGCAACTACAAAAAGGAAAAAAAATATAGTGTTAACATTGAAAATCACAAGGAAAAAAATGTTGATGTTGTCTATTTAACAGACAACATTAAGTAGAGAAGAACCTACGGTCCACAGATTTTTCCAATATTCACCAAATCCTCTATGTCAAGAGGTTCATCTCCAAGACCAGGTTTTCCTCCATAAATTCTACAGAAAGAAATATAAGAAGTGGACATTTTTCGGCAAAATGGATCCAGTGAAACGTCACAAGGAAACTGGAAACAAAACAGATAAGAGAACATCACAATAAGCCACCTGATTCACAAGCAGAATCCTTAAATCAACATCATTTTCCTCAAGAAAATTCTTGGCACATAATTGGCAGAACAACTCATTGTCAACAAACACTATATTTACATTTTTAAAACTTATATATTATTACTGAATCTAAAGACACAAAAATCAAATAGAACATACATTGCTCAATGAACTGTAAGTCAGATAAAATTAAACAGAGCAGACATTGCTCAATGAACTGTAACGTCATCGTGGGGCTGGTTGTGCTTTTCGTTGCAGTTGGAGCAGACGAGGATGAATTTGAGGTGCAGGGATGACGATAGTCATCACCAGGATACGAACCACGACAGGCACATCGTGCACACATTCACGCACATCCAAAACCCTAGAAATTGTAGAGAACCAGGAGAGAGTGAAAAATAAGAGAAAATAGAGAGAGAAAGGAAAGAGACGCAAGAAGAAAATGGTGACAAGGACAACAAGAGGAAAAATGTCGAGAGGAACGAATGAGAGGAGAGGGTCGAGAGGAATGAAGGAGAGAAGACTGTAAAAATATCCTTGCCTGTCCCACATAACACTTTATTTTTATTTTATTTATTTTTTTAATATTTAAATATTTTATTTAAATGTGTTCACATATAAATGTAGTTTTATAGTTTTATTGATGGAAAGAGACCGCTTAAAACAACTTATATAAATCCCTTATTTAAATGTGTTCACGGTTAAAAGTTAGAGATACCCATTATTTTTAAGTATTTCTTAGTGGATTAGTAAATAAATATGATTTTATTGATAGAAAGAAATCACTTAAAACTACTTAAAGAGGGTCCTTAATCTAATTTATTTAATTAGTCCTGTGTCCATCCACCAATTACGTATGTACAAATAGGTATAGATCAGAAGTTATCTTCTAAAATAGATCTAAGATTAGAGAAATTATAGCTTGAATGAAATTATAAATATTTAATTAACAATGGCAAGAAGTATATTTTCTACTGCATATGTTCTGATTTTTAAATTTCAAGATAGAATTATATGTTATCAATTGGTATCAGAACCGCCTTCTTGCTTTATTGATTAGTGAAATAATTTTATATCTCTAGTTCTTGCCGTGAATATGACGTGCGATACTGTGTATACATATAGAGCTCGTTTGGTACGCGAGATAAGGGTGGATAAGGATTGTTTATCTATTCTTATCCTATTCGGATTCACGTTTGGTAAGCGGAATAAAGCAGAATCGGATAAATTCAAATAGGAGAGAGATTGGATAATAATAAAGTTAAATTTGGATAAACTATACTGGAGAAAGGGATAAGATAATTTTATTCGACCTCTATCCAACTTCTTTGGACAATACTATCCTTACCACCACCACTAACCGTCACTTCCGCCACCTTCGTCAAACAAGATTATTATCTAGATCATTATGCAGTCAGTATATTTTATCTCAAAACTTATTCTATTATGTTATATTCTATCTAACCTAACAAACGAGCTCATAAAGGTCTCTGAATCATGGCAATTGCAAAACCTCATCTGACACATCATTTATGCATAGTAAAGCAATCTATATAAATTTAATGGTTCTCAAATTTGGAACAAAACTTTGATTTCTATATTCTGGGATCACGGCAGATGTACAGAACGTACAGAATTTTGTATATTTGATTTCTACTTTTTTCATATGTTTTAATTGATGGGATTATTTGATGTTTTTCTTCATGGAAAAGGTAACTTTGTGTACTAAAAGAAAAAGTCTAGCCGTAACATCTCGTATAAAAGCTTGTTCTTTTCTTTGACTTCATGCATTTTGACGTTCAGCTGGACTCATCACAAAATGAATTCAATTTTATTCTAGATTTGAAATTATATTATATCTCTCTGTTATTTACCAATTATAATTTTGCATGATTTATATTTAATGGAAGTTACAGAATACATCCAATTTTATAATATTATAGTTTTGCTTACCACGAGTACAACATTTGTATGTTTTAGATCTATCAAATATACAGTTAGCATTAAAAAAAAAAAAGTTATAAAATTATGATATCGATAGCATGTTCATGTTTATTTTGAGATCTTATACTATTTGAGAGTTTGTAATGTCAATTAACTTAAGATTAGCAACAGCATCTTAAAGTGTATTGATAATTACATAAAATTAAATTTTCATAAAGTATGCAACATATTTTTGCAGTTATTTTATAAAATAATAATTTGACCCTATAGGGGGTTATTATTTCTTATGATAAGATAAAAGAGGAATTTAAGAATGATTTTGTCCTAGACCCATAGGTATGAATAAAGTTTATTCTTAATATTTATTTATTAGTCTTACCCTAAAGAAAATATAGTAAATTCTATGCATGTTACAACCTTTGCACATGGGGAGATTATAATTTACTACTAAATTGACATTGGTTAATTTAGATTAAATTTTGTGTTTTATAGCATTGAAATAATTGTTTATTTGTTTTGGTTATTGCTACTATTCGTACTGCCTTAGTTGAAATATCTAATATTCAATGTTATGTGGCGATAATTTGTTGGTTAAAAGAAGTATTCAATTTACATTGGGGTGCGTGGATTTGGATTTGGCTTACGTGTGAATGAACTGCCCATTCCCATGGAAATAAGTATGGTACAGGAAAATACTAATTATGAGCGGTGGGAGCAATCTAATCGCTCAAGTTTAATGCTCCTAAAGTCTCGCATAAGTAAGAGTATTAGGGGTTCTATTCCTGAATGCTCAAAAGCAATAGATTTCCTTAAGGCCAGAGGAACAATTTGTTCACTTGATAAAGCATTAGCTAGCACCTTAATGAAAAAGGCTTACTAATAAGTCATTTGACTATTCTAAAGATGTACATGAGCATACTATGGAAATGAGAGATATTATTGCTCAACTTAAGTCCTAAAAGTTGAAATTTTGAGTCGTTCTTGGTACATTTCATATTTAACTCTTTCCCGCGGAGTATAATATGTTCAAGATATCTTATAAACACACATCAACATAAATGGTCAATTAATGAACTCCTAACCTTATGTGTTCAAGAAGAGGAGAGGGTGAAACTTGAGAAACCTGAAAGTGCTCATTTGGTTTCTCACACTAAGGGAAATGCCAAGAAGGATAAAAATGTTCCAAAAGACAAAAAAGAAGGGAAAGTGCAATGAAGCAACATGGCAACATAATTAACTGTTTCTTTTGCAAGAAAATGGATATGTCAAGAAAAATTGCTTAAATATCAAAATGACTCATAAAAAAGGTAAACTCATCTCTTTAGTTGTCATGAATCACTTTTTTATTGATACTCCTAGTAATTCATAGTAGATTGATTCTGGTTCTACAATCCATATTATAAATACCACGCAAGGCCTTCTGCACCTAAGGAAGCCAAGAGGAAATGAAAAGGGTATCTATTTAGGCAATTGGATACTGTCTTAATTGAAGCTGTGGGGACTTTTAGATTGACTTTGAAATTAAAATTTGTTTTAGATTTGGAAATGTCTTCTATGTTCCATCTTTTTCTAGAAATTTAATTTCTATTTCAAAACTTGTTTGTAATGGTTATGGTTTTTTATTTGAAAAACAATGTTACTATTTTTCGAAATACAATTTCTATTGGTAGTGGAACATTAATTGATGGTTTATACAAAATGATTTAGACCCTACTTTTGGCTCAACTATTTATCAATGCATGTTGATGTGGTA